GATCTTGACTGGGGCTACAATACATAAGTTTTTCAAAATCCTGGCTTACCTGATCCCCTCCCGCCTTTAAGTTCATTGATTTTGTCTGTGTGCGCACTCTTATGCATGCATGTGCCTTAATTATCTAATCAGCTCAAATGATGAGGCACTTTTCTCTTATATAACCTCAGCACAGGAATTCATCAGAGAGTAATAATGATGGTTCTTATTTTTTTTATAATTATAGCTAGGGATCTGTCTTCCAAGTTTGCTAGAATAAAATTACTCAGAGAAGACAATTTGCAAACAGTTCATCGTACTTTACAAATCAGAATCAGAAGTCTTTAAGAATACAGGGGCTAATAGTGGCACCAAAGATTCTTTAAAAGAATGCTTACTCAACACTAAAAGCCAGAGAAATGTGTTTGGATTATTAGAGACTCTTAAAAGCTTTTTAGAACACTTATCATAATGACTCTTATGAACTTAACACTCAGTTTGCTTTATCTGCTTTAAACATTGGGTTGGCAATAACTATAATTCCTGAATGTTAGCAAAAATGAACACAGCACTTACATCACATGAAAAAATATATATTTCAAAACAAAATGAGAATACCAAGACAGCAAATAAGATTACAAAACTAAATAGCAAGTGAGTGACTCATGTGGAAAGACTTTCTTCATTGTTTTATTCCTAGGTATGCATGTAGATCATATGCACTTTTAACTGAGAAGCTGATAGGATAGTTATCTATGACCCAATCCACATCCATCCGCTGCAAAACCAGTGAACTGAAGCTACATCTGTCCTGTTAAATGAATTTCCTAGGAAGTTCTGCAAAGTCGGTTTGCATCTGCAAAGCTAGTCTGCATCCTAAATTCAGAAATTCGTCTGTAATCCGCCACTATCAATCAACTCAGTGATTTATTTAACTGCCCTCAGTCACTACTAAAGAGTTTTATGTGCAGAAGAGGCTTAGAATCCTCGCATTAGTTCTGAGAAAGAAAAACAAATCTGTTACAACCAAACAGATGTAGGTTAGAGAGATTATTTTCAGTTTAGCTTTTTCAATTGAATATAAGAAAATCCTTCCCTAGCAGTGTCTAAAATGCATTAGGGAGTTCAAGTAAAGTTCTAAATTCATTTGTGCTTTCAATATTAAGAAGGGAAGCATCTTAGTGAGACAGACACTACAATCGGGTAAGAGAGAAAGGACAAACTTTTTGCTATTTGAAAGGCAATTCAACATTCTTTTCCAGGAAATGATAATCAGAGTCCAGACTCCAACCATCGAGGAAGATTTAAGAAGAAAATTGGGGGTCCAGAGAACATAAGGGTTAAACACTTTTCTTGCCTGTGGCCAAAATAGGTTTGATCTCTGGTACCTCCTGGTCCCTGAGCACCACCATGCACAGACCCTGAGCACTGTCCAGGGAGGCACAAAAACCAAGGAGGGGGGAATGAATATTTGTTGCATAACTAAGGGCTGGAGCGATAGCACAGCGGGTAGGGCGTTCGCCTTACACGCGGCCAACATGGCCGACCCGAGTTTGATTCCTCCGCCCCTCTCGGAAAGCCCTACCGAGAGTATTCGATATGCCAGACACAGTAACAACAAAAGTCTCCAATGGAGACGTTACTGGGCCCGCTCGAGCAAATCGACGATCAACGGGAGGGCCTTTACCTTTACCTTTTACCTAACTAAATATTCAGAGCTAAGTGCCCATTTCAAGGTGCCAGAAACGTGGTCTATTGGTTAGTTCTATAGATTTTCAGATCACAGACTGAGGAACAAATATTTCCAGTCGACTGAAGTTGTATTAAATTATATTTTAGACTTATTTCAAGATATCTATCTATGACTAACTGCCATGGCATTATTTTTATATTTTTAGGAACCATGATCTTATCTTGCAGATTCCAAATTGAATTTGAATTAGACCCTTAATATCACTTATTAGGGCATAAGACACCTCATTTCAAGGGCTTAATTCCTCTACCAGAGAAGAAAACAGCTCATGTAAGTATTTTTTTCCCTTTTGGGTCACACCAGGCGATGCACAGGGGTTACCCCTGGCTCATGCACTCAGGAATCACTCCTGGCAGTGCTCAGGGACCATATGGGATGCTGGGAATTGAACCCGGGTTTGCCGCATGCAAGGCAAACACCCTACCTGCTGTGCTATTGTTCCAGCCCCTTTAAAGCACTAAAAATCAGGTTAGAGCTGGCTATATGGACCTAAGTTAGAAAGAATCTGAGGGGGGAAAGCCATTCTACTGCACCAAAATTGCCATCATAAAAATACTGTAAATAATATTAAAGTCAGACTGAGCCAATGCCCCTCAGTTTTCTTATCTTCAACTCTAAGCTAGCTTAACAAAATCTGCATAACAGCTCATTTGTCTGAAAATTCTGAGATGCCGATAATCCTATGTAGTTATGGAAACAACAGATGACAATATTTGTCTTATATCCACCAACTACTTTTTTATGCACAAATAAAGATATGACAGCTTTCACAGATGAGAAAAATACTAAGAAAGAAGAGGGAGAAAAAAAAGGAGAAAAGAGATTCTCCAAATGTAGGACCCCAAGACTGGCCACTGATTCAACACTGTGTCAAAGCATGAAAGAAAGTTTATCACAGGTGAGTATAAAACTTCTGTTTCTGGACTTTGGTCCAAACAGTCATAAACACTTGTCCTCACTTAGTATCCCTTGTTTTCCAGTTCATGACAAATATTCTTAAGCTCCTGCCTAATATAAAATGAAGCAATAAAAAGTCAATCATGTTAACCCTTCAACACTAAATGATCTAGAACATGAACCATAGTCCCAGGTCTCATTCGTAACTAATGAAAGGGGACATAATGCTACTGTGTCAGGAACCAGAGTTGCTGGGAAAGGTCTATTTGCTCAGAAAGGCATTCGAACCCTGCATTTCCATAGCATTCAGACCCCAGAGCTGTCAGAGATGGCGAAGGTGGGAATTTAATATTAACAGACTATGGTATCCGGCATGCATGCTCAAATTCCTGGGAATTGGTCATGATCAATAAAAGCATAGAAAGATCTGTCAGTGCTACGAACAAACGCTAGTTCTGAATGAGGTCCTTGCTTCAGCTTTTGATGGGTTAGAGCAAACAATGGACCAGAGGAGCATGATTGCTTTCAAGGTCAACCCAAACTTCCAAGTGTCTAACAATTTAGAAAGGCCAGAATGTTCATTCTTTCTATTCACTGACACTGAAGACAGGTCAACCCCGGAGGGCGCCGACAGAGAAGCAGGCATGAACGTCAAACAATAACAAATAAAGTACTGCAGAAAGTTCCCTGAGCAAGCCTGTATATACAGCACAGATGGCCGAGCTCAGTGAGTCTAAATTGATTTTGAATCTTGAAACACACCAATGCCTCTACAGTTTATTTCAAGGTTTCCCTGACCCTACACAGTATTCATTTTACATTTAGGAAGTGTAACAAAAAAGGCGAAGCAATGTGAGCGCAGGTTAAGAAAAGAATGTATGCTGTAAAGGTAAAAGATGTGCAGTAAGTTTTGAGCACAACCAAAACCCAACGCAATCACAGCAAGCTTCAGTCTGGCATTTTAATGACCCATTACTATCCAGGCCCTTATGGTCTTATTTTTAAGTCACCACCACATAATGTCATCTGTTCTAAACTCAGGCTAGAATACTGGTCTAATGAAACTCAGGTCATGTCCGCACTTTAAAACTCCTAAAACTGCCTGCATTACTCTTAGAAAATTCCTTACACTTTCGTTTTCTAACTTACACCCAACACCGACCCTTTTCTTAAGAAAATGCAAGGGTGTACATTCTCCTCTCTGTCTGTCTCTGTCTCTGTCTTTGTCTTTGTCTGTCTCTGTTTCTGTCTTTCTCTCTCTCTCACACAGACACAGACACACACACAGACACACACAAACACACACACAGAACACAAAGGTGCTCAACCTACTATCAACACCAACAGTAACTCAAAAAGCCAAACCCTCACTAGAAGAAAGTCTTAATTCTAAACTGATTTAAACTTTACAGTGAACAGTGCAGTTCTAAGAATAAGGATTTTAATCTTATGCTCTTTGGGAGAAAGAGTAAACATGAAAAGAAATGTGAGTTAAGGCTTTCCATGTATTCCCCAATAAAACAGGAGCACTTTGCCCCTGCTCAGGGACAGGCCTGAACGGTAAGAGTTCCTCTAAGCCTGACCTGTTAACAAACTGGCCCCACATCTCGTCCAAGATTTGAAGGGATAAGACAGACAAAAAAGGAAAAAAGACATTTACACTTTCTAGAGCTACTCACTCGCTCCCCCCACCCTTTCCAACTGTTAATAAACAGCCTTAAAAACAGCTTCAAAGACACCCCATCCAAATCAAAACACCCAAACATCCCCCAACACACACACTTCACAAGGGGTCGGTGGGCTGCCCACACCTCATTCTAAGAAGCGGAGGAGGGCAGCCGGATGGAAGGACGCAGGACGGATGGCCGGGGGGCCACTGGACAGGAGTGAACCTTCCTAAAACTGGGAGCCGCGGGAACCCCTCATTCTCCAAACAGCTGTATTTACTTCTTCACCCTAAACTTGCAGAAAAGTCCCCCTTCCAAAGGGATGGGAATTGAACTTTCATTTCAAGATCCTGCGGTCGGAAATGAGCATGCGGAGGCAGGTCAAGGCAGGGGTGAGGGTTTGTAAAGAAAGGCCGGGTAACTGCAGGGGAAGATAAAGCGGGTCCCCAAATCCCACCCCGAAAAAGACGAGAAATCCACAGCAACTCGGAACGTTCCTTCGAGGAGGGGAGAAATATCGGGGATCCCCTCCCAAAATAAGGTTTCCAGAAACACACCCACCCTCCCCACCAGCGCAAGTCATCCCCAAGAGTACCCGTGGGCCAGAGATGCCCAACAGTCTGTCCTCCAGCCGACCGCCCGCCCGTCGGGGAAAGGGGGAAAGTTGCAGGGGCGGGGGAAAGGGGGTGCCCAAGCAAGTCTACCTGGTTTTGTCTCCAAAGGGCAACATAGCAAACGTGCGACGTCCGGGGCGCGGGCCCTCGATGCCTGGACGTGCCGGGGGCGATGCGGTGCCCAGGTGAGTCGGGTGACTCGGAGCGGGTTCCCCTACGGCCCCCCGCCGGCCGCTGCCAGCTCGCCCCGAGCCGGGCCGCCCCCTGGCGGGGAGCGCCCCGCAGAGCCGCCGGCCGAGAAGCAGAGCCCGGCGCCCAGCCCCGCCGGCTCCTCCCGCATCGCCGCCACCGGCCCCCGGCTCCGTCTCTCCAACGGGGCGCGTCTGGGGAGCCCGGCCGCGCCCGCGGGAGCCGCTCCCCCGCTCGGCACCAACTCCTGGGCCCGGGCCAGGGGCAGCGGGGTTGGGGGTTTGGGGAAGCCGGCGGGGGTGGGGGGGGCGGTTGGCGGGGGGTGGGGGCAGCGCCTGCCAAGCACCTTCCGCTCCACCCTTCTCGTCCCCTGGCTGCAGCCTCGATCGCTCCCCGGCGCCCGGACCAGCGTTTCCCACGCGCAACCCAACCGCCCGCTGCGCGACTGCCTCCCAGAGATCAAGTCGGACCTCCCGGTCCTCCCCGCCCTCCCCAGGCCCTCCCGGGATCTTGGCTCCAGCCCAGGAGGCGCTCGGGACCGACCGGCCCAGCCCACCCCGCCCCGCCAAACCCCCGGAGACCGCCGGGCTTCGCGCCCTTTGTGCTCGCGCCCCGAAACCCCCTCTGGAAGCGTCTCCGCGGCAGGGGACAAAAGGGGACCGAAAGGCGACAGCACTCACTCGGGGAAGGTTCCGGCATGTTGCAGCCTTCGGGCTTCCCCGGGCTCTCGCCCCCTTCCCCGGCTTCCCCGCCCCGCCTGGGCCCGGGCGAGGGGGGCCGGGGGAGGAGCGGAGCAGCCGGCCCAGAGTTGGACTCGGTGCTTCCGGAGCCGCGGGGACCCGCACAGAAACGGCTCCCGCTTTCGGCCACGGAGACTTCGGGGCTGGGGGCTGCTCGGGAGGCTCGGGCGGGGGACTGCTCGGGCGGGAGGCTGGAACGGGGCTGCCGGGAGGCCCGTGCGTGCAAGCGGACAGCGATCAGTTTCCCGGGAATACCGGGAGCTTGGGGTTGCGCGGAGTGGGGGGCGGGGAGAGGGGCTCTGCAAGTATTTGAACTTTGTGCAAATTGGAGGGAATCCTGGGCTGACTTTGTGGGGTTTTGTAGCCCCCCCGGAGTGGAGTCGCCCGCGTTGTTTTAGCTGCACCCGCACCCTAGTTCCAAGGCAACGGGCCGGCCCACGCGGGCCGAGGGAACAACTCCTTAGGGGGCAGAGAGCAGCCCCCGGGCGCGCGGCGTGGACAGGGGACAGGGGACGGGGGTGGGGGTCGGGGGAGTGCCCTCTTACCTGGTGGCTTTCCTAACAAAGTACGAGAAGGTAAAGTCCGGGTGATCGTCCAGCCACGCTTCCACCGCGTCCGGGTCCCGCGGCGGCGCGCAGCCCGGCCCGGCGCGCTCCATGCCTGGAGCGGCGGCTCCCCGCGCGGGTGTCGGGGCCGAGCCGGGGTCCCTCCCTCGGAAGCGCGCGACCGGCCCGGGGACCCTCCCCCCGGCGCCTGGCTCCAGCTCCCCGCGGCTCTCCCGGCGGCGTCCCTGGGGCGACCAGGTGCGGCGGGCGGGGCCAAGCCGCCGCCCCGCGCCCTCCGCGGGGGTCCCGCCGCGCGCCTCTGCCCTGCGCCCCGAGTCCCGGGCGGCCGCGCGGTCCGGAAGCCGCGGGCGGTGGCCGCTGGGGTGCGCTATGCGCCCGGTCGGCACCGGGGAGCCAAGGTGAATGGGGGGCGTGGTGTGCCCGCGGCGCCCCGCTCAGAGGAGGCCAGGTCGGGCTCCCCGGGGCGGAGAGTGGGAAAGAAACGGGGAAGTGGGGGTAACCCATCCCAAGCTCGGGAGTGGGCGTGCACGGCGGTCGATCTCCCCAATATTCGATTGGACGCGGCGCCGCGGGCACATGGTGTCCCCGAGCCGGGGAGAACAATGAGGGGGACCCGCCTCACTTTCTTCCAGCCCTGCGCTTAGCTCTGGCCGAAGCCGGGAGCAACTTTTCTCGGAGCCCCCTCCACGAGGTGGGGTCCAAGTCCCCAAGCCTAGGCTGCACCCCGGGAAGGGAGCTGCGAAGTAGGGCCCACCCCGAGCGATTTTCCGGTTTAAGCGGGGTAATTTCCATTAAAACTACTCCTTGCTTTATGTTCGTATCAAAAAGAAATTTTTTTTAAATAATAATGCTATCAAAATTTTTGTTGCGGACTTGCATCAAATAACCCACCGTCCTCCATTTACAGTATGAAGTTAAAAAAAAAAAAAGAAAAAGAAAAAGAAAATATTCGCTCACTGTCCCCCACCCATATTCTCCCCTATTCCACCCCCACCCCCATATAATCAGGTTGACCGGAGGAGAGGCCAGCGCCAGCTCTGCCCAGGTGCAAAGCAGCGTGGCCTTTAGCCCAAGTTAAATCTGTCACGTATTTAAGTGGAATTAACACTGAGGCCCAAACCAGTATCCTTTTGTTCTATCTCCGTCGTGCTTTTGCAAAGGGAATTAGTGTTTTCCTCCATGCAGTCCCCATCTCCCTGTCCCACATTTGCACTCTTAATAAGCTATTTTGCAACGACCTAATTTTTTTTTTCTTGGCAGAATTAAAGCTGGAGTTGTATGTTTCTCAAAGTGTGAAGGACACCATTAGCGGTGATGTTCAGAAAGTGATGCAGCTGACATACTTTCAACAAACTCCTCTCAAAACATTCTTGGCAGGAATGTAAGACATTCGTCATGACTAAGAAACACATAATTGAATTGATAAAATAAGAATTTTCTAAAATGTTGCCTCCATTCCCCAAGCTGTCCTTTTACATTTAGTGGTGAACTTACATTTTATCCAGGAGGTTTTCAAACAGTCCTTTTTTTGAATCACCTGAGAGCTTTTAAAAGTCCTAATGTCTTTCTAATATTTCTAACAGGGTTGCAGTTGCATTAGAATTATCTCAGGGGGAAGGGGACCCCATCAGCTGATTTCAGATTGCTATTGGCATTGAGAAATGGCTGACCTAGCCTCATGTTTATTTCCAATGATATCCACCTGAAAGTTATAAATAACATGTTATAATATTCATTTAAAAACAAAACCCCAAAGAAGGTGATCTTTTGTAAATCAAGTTTCTGAAACTTTGTGGCATGTGAAGTAACCACAGATCAATGCAAAGTAAGCAAAGCAGTAACCTGAGATAATGTGTGATAAATTAGATTAGATTTTTAACTGGGAGTCATCTCCTAATTTGTTGTTAGCCATTACAGTGCCTGGGTTTTCTCCTGTGAAAATCTGGGCATTTTTCCTAACAATGGGGTCAATTATTTACTCCAAAGATGGAGTGAGGTTTTGGCTTGAATTGTTTGCACTCTTTGGAAACCTTCATTCTGTTGTTTTTTTTAAAGGCACTTACCAAATATCTATTATCTCTACTAACCCAAAAGAATTAAGTTAGCAGAAATCATGTAGTTTCCGAAAAATGTCCTGGGATTTAAAAAATAACCCAGGGATTCTTCAAGCGAGTCTTAGTTCTGTGTGGTGTTAGGATGGGTTGGAAGTTTCTGTCAAAGTCTTTAAAGGGGGTGGAAGGAAGGAGGGGGGATGTCACAAGGTCTTGGAGGATGTGAGGGTGGGGGTCTTTCAAGCTGTGAGAGTCTCCAGAAAACTGGGGCAAAACTTGTAACAATGCCTCTTGTTACTCAAAGGTTCTAAAAATAGTTTTTGAATTAACTTCACCCTGATATTTTCTTGTCTAGCTCCATGTTATTTGATCTTAATTTGTGCAAAATTATTTTATATTTTAACTTTTGGGGATGGACTACTCTATTTCAAATCGTATTTTGGTGGTGAGTTGAAAACTGAGTCATTAATAAGCATTACCAGGAAACAGTTCCCCCTAAAATGCTGTTTACAACAAATGTTCACCAACTATTTACAACAAATGTGCACCAACCTCACAGGAAACCCCAGAATATTCCCCTTGTAGTAGAATAAAACCAATAAAACCAAAACTTAAATAGAATTAACAAGGTCCTACATGACTTGGCTCTAACGGAACTTTAAAGGTGTTGGTCATAAGGAGAAAAAACAAAACCACAATTAAATTTCCTTCTCCTCAAAATAACAGAGATTAAGACATGCTTCTTACTATGTCTTCTTGTATGTTTTGTTTCTTTCCAAACAATATTTACATTCTTTTCTCCATTGCAGGCATTCTGGAATAGAAAAGAGATCACTAAAGGGTATACTAAAGAATTTAATTTCAATGAATTCACTAATTCAAAAAAAAAATCCTAGGTGGGGAAAATTTAGCCAAACTTTGACCATATTGAAATAAAATTCTATTAAAACAGAATTCAATAAAACATTTAATTTGATGTATAAAGAAATTCCTTCAAGGTAAACTTTAGGCTGATTAACAAAAAGGAGATATTGGGGACCAGGCTGGGCCATACCTCCAATGCTTTGTGCTAGTCCTGGCTTTGTGCTCAGGAGTGACCCCTAGTGGTGCTCAGGGGACCATATGGGGTGCTGGGGATGGAAGCCGGGTTGATCATATGGTGGGCAAATGCCTCAACCACTGTATTTTCCCTTAACATTTTGAAGGAAAACACCAATCTTATCCCATTTCTTTCATTAAACCAACAAACCCTGAAACCCAAACATGTCACATATATTAAATAATATCCCTCATGATCTGTTATACCTAATAACATTAACACACTGAATCTAGAAACCTTATATAGGTGTCACTGAGAACAATTTGCAGTGGAAATATATGGAAACAGTAAGAAAATTCCACAGTTTCACGGAGCTGTGAGCCAGGCAGTTCAAAAAAGAGCAACTATGTATGAGAAGCATTTATTTTTTTTTATTTTTTTATTTTTTTTATTTAATCATTTTTTTTATTAGTGAAACACCATGAAGTACATTTATAGACTTATAAATTTTTGTGCTTGGGTTTCAGTTATACAATGATCAAGTACCCATCCCTCCACCAGTGCCCATCCTCCCCCACCACGGGTCCTAGCATCCCTCCCACCCCACCCAACCCCCCCCCCCCCCCATCCCACCCTGCCGCTGTGGCAGGGCATTCCCCCTTGTTCTCTCTCTCTTCTTTTGGGTACTGTGTTTTGCCAGAGAGGTATTGAGTGTCAATCATGTTTGGTCTATAGACTACTTTTAGCATGTCTCTCCCACCCTGGGAGGGTCTTCACAACACCCTTTATTTGGTGCTCTCTTCTCTATTTGAGCTTCCTTTTCACCTAGCA